GAGTCAACCACGAGGCACAGCCTACCTGGTGTCTGACCAACTCAAGGTGAGTTTATAACGTCGCCCGACCACGGCCACACAATGTGGGTCGAATCCACAGTAATTCCTCAGAACTTGGCATCTGGGAATACTGGGTTGTCAGAAAGTCATGCGCATTTTTGCAAAGAAAACGAGAAGAGTGCCTTTCCGACACCCCGACGGCAGAATTCTGTGGAGGAGGAGCGAGGGCTGGAATGCGGTGATTCCGCATCACATGCGCCAAGCGGGCCATGGAAAGGCGCGTGCCCATCACTGCTCGCTCTGCAAAGGGCAGTGCGCTACCCACCTCCCGTGGCTGCGCTGCTCTCTGGGGAGCCACGGAGTTCCCGGGGTGAAGACGACATTCCCAGCAACCGCCCAGCGCTGGGTGCCTTACCGAAAGGAGGTAGTCCGTAAGTCTGGCTCGCCTGCGGGTAGACAGCGTAGGGCCGGGACTGCTGCAGGGCCTGGTACTGGGTCTGCCCCGGGTAGGCCGCGTCCGGAACAGGCACTGAGAGGATGTGTGTGTACGGCCTGGGGAGATCCAAGACAGCAGACGCTCTCACCTGCGACTGGGACGGGGCGGGGCTCCCCACGGCCGGCAGTCAGCGGCGAGGGCGGGCCCACCAGCAGGCTCGTCACTACCGTGAAGGGCAGAACCCCGAGTCCTGGTTAGGCTCTACCATCGCCTTCCTCAGGGACAGCTCAGGGACTTACCCGTCACTAACACCCTCGCAGACACCCTGCATGCAAGGCCCTCCGTGGGACACGAGGGTGGATTACATTTGGCCATGCCCTCAGACACGCAGACTAGAACCCTGAGGCTCTCCTTTTCCACCCACGGAAGGCAGGACTTGGAGAGAAGGCTGAGCTGGTGGAGGAGAGGCAAGCAATCGCAGCGGAGAACGGGCTTGGCCCTGAAGCCTCAGACTGAGCTCACCTCCCCGCTGCCATTTCGTGCAGTCGTGGCTCCCTCTCTGAAAGGTCTGCACAAAACCCAGAGCACTGCCGCTAGCTGGCCCAGGGATCACCAGGGACTGAGCTCAGCAGTGAGCCCCGGGGCCTTGGCACAGGTTCACGGGCCCAGCCCTCTCATCCCTGCCATGGCATTGAGTATTTGAAAATACCAGGTATCTCATCTGGTGACCTGTGCTACCTTCGCACCGTAGGAGTGTGTCACATGGACCACATATGTTCGAACAAAAAGGGGGTTAGAAGGGGAGAGTTTTAGTTTCTGCGATCTCAGCTTTGGGAGAAGAGGAACACGAAGGAAAGGGGCACTGTGGGGTTGAGCAGGGAGGCTGGGGTGGGGCAGAAAGGGCGTTTGACAGGAGGGCAGCTCCGGCCTGCCAGCAGCACAGGGGGAGCACAAGAACACTCGCTCAGAGAAGGGGAGCAGCAGGCAGAGGCGTGGCAGGGCCCGGGGACGGCAGGCTAAGGGCTCATGTAGATCTGAAACTGGGAGCCATTAACCTGCCGAGCACAGCGATGAGGCCAGAGCTAAGATTAACCTCACACTGCTTTCTAGAACGGGTCAAGAGGAGGGTCTAGCAATGGATGCTCGGTGACACAATAACGCAGTGGTTCCGGAAAGTGGGAAGCTGGTCTGAACGAAGAGAAAGAGCTGGTGGTGTGGTGGTTACAGCAGCCGGGCCCCAGATGGCCGACTACATGGCCGAGTGCCAGGCCCAGCAGCTGAGAAACATGCCTGGCACGCATGCACGTGTGCCTCAACTCCTTGAAGGAAGGAGAGACAGAGGAGAAGCGATTGTGACGTCCTTCATGGCCTGCAGGGTGCTTTGTAACTCTCCACTTCGCTGTCTCTTTCCAAAGTACGAGCCCTCTGGCAAAACTATAAGGGACCAGCAGTTAGCGTAATGGCTATGTCGCTGGACTCCCACATAGTCGACCACAGTTTGTGTCCCGAAGCCGGTGGCTTAAAACTCACACTGGGTGCGTGTGCGTGCATGCCCAAGATCCCGAGAGGAGAATGGAGGAGGGGGGATTGTGGCGTGGCCACCCCCCCTCGGGGGTGATTTTTCTGTCTGTCTCGGGGGCCCACGCGCCCTATAACAAAAAACCCCCCAAAAAAAAAAAAAAAAACTATAAAAACACAAAAAAACAGACAGCAGAGTTAATAAAGTATCTTCCATCTGGCAGGTACTACTTGAAATGCTGTTAAACAAAATGAATGAAGTTAGAATAGGCAAGATGTCTAGGCAGATTCCCAGAATATAAATCTGAAAATGTTTATTCTTGGGGCTGGCAGGTGGCATGGTGGCTAAGGTGCTGGACTCCCACATGGCCGATTATGGTTCGAGTCTCAGACCTGGAGGCTTACTTTCCTACTTTCCCTTTCTCTCTCTCTAGTTAAATTAAACAAATAATAATGATGGTAATAAATGAAATAAAATAATTTTTAAAAAGAGAAAGGAATGCTATTGGAAAAAAAGAACACGTCGTCTTCTTCATTCAGCACCTCCGCGACCCGACGTGTCAGTGATCCAGTGACTGCTCTCCAGACACGTTCAGGGTCATCCTGTCCTGCCCCATGTGAAGACTCACACGTACCCTCCCGTTTAGTGTGTGATCTCTTCATGGCGACCCAGAGGCTAGGCTCAGTCACTATACAGAAAACCACACGAGGACTGGCCCAAGGACACCATCAGTGCTGTTTTTGTTTCATTCTGAATCGCCAGAGGATACACGCATTCACCAGAGAAAGAGACAGACAGGGAGACAGAGAGAGAGATCATGCTCTGGGGGAGTGGCCACATTGCAAGCCCTTCTCCTCCATTCTCCTCCGGGGATTGAGACTGTGAGTGCTGTAATCCGTTCCCCTCCATGGATCTTGGGCACACACATGCATCCAACATGTTTCCTAAGCTACCAGATCTGGGACTTGAACTATGGACTTGGCCATGTGGAGTACAGCGTCTTAACCACCATGCTACTGCTGGCCCCTGTACTGACCTTTCAAAAATTATTACTGTTATTGCTAGAAGGCATGTACTCGGCAGAGGGAGAAGCAGAGATGGAGAAAGGGAGAGGAGAGCACGCTCCCCATCTCGATGCATTCCCCTCCCGCCTTCCCCTTCAGGATTTGGCACGCATGCACACATACCCAGGGTGTTTCTTAAGCCATCAGTCACGTGGGCTCTAACTGCCTTAACCATGAAGCTTCGGAGCCAGCCCTACTTACTTTTATTTTTAACTCATGAGAATTCAAAGTACGAATGGGTACGACAGGGAAATAAAGCTGGTTTCCTTTCTGAGCCGGCCCATGGCGCTTCTCCTGCCGGTCTAGAACTCCTTCAGGCGCCCTGCGTGTGTGAGCACACGGACTGCATCAGTCTCACGTGCACATGGTGTGCCCGCGTGGTGCGGTCCGGGTCCACTCCGTTAACGGACACATGTCCTGCACCTGCCCGTCTTGGAACTGGGTCCCCTCAATGCTGACCTGACCCACGACGGTTTCAACGGCTACCTTTCAGTGATGCCACCCCGAGGCTGCCCACTTCAGGCCAGGACCCAGACACAGGCCAGGGCTCAGTCGGCGACGTCCGTGCACGCTCAGTGCTCTGAGTGCCCGTGCCTGCTGAGAGCATGGCCCTGTGGGGCGGGCCTACCCCACAGCCACCTCTCTGTGCAAAGGGCACTATGCAGGCTATCTTTAGGGGGTAAGAAGCGGGGGTAAGTACAGACAGACAGAACAAAAGAGATGAAGGAAAAGTAAATAGCAAATAAAATCCTGCAATGACCCTAGCGAAAAAGCATACAGATTCTGGAAATAAAAAAATTATTCAACTTACTTTGTGGAATACATTTGTGAGGTATAATCACTGGACGAGCGAGGGAGGTAATCAGTGCATGTCATAACTGAAAGAGAGATAATACCACCAGGTGAGAAGTTACAGTAGCTCCAAAGCCGAATGGGAGAAGTTGCTCATCTCACTGTAGTCCTCCGAGCTACATCACAGAGCACAGCTCGGGTGCCAGGTGAGGAAGACTGCAGAGCAGAAGATCTCTCCATTCTGCAGTTATGGACCTGGGTATAGACTGCAGGACGGTCAGAGAAGCGAGTCTGGGGTGCGGAAAAGAGGTAGGGCTGGCACCACCTGACCTCACGGCACAGATGGGGTCCGCCTGGGCTCTCGGCTGTGCTTCTAGACCCACCTCTAGGAAGCCTCGTTACACCTCTGCAGCGCATTCCCCCTCTGGGTGCTTATACTCTTCCAAGTAAAAGGCCTGAAGAACGCCGTGCAGGAAGGACCAGCCTGGGACAAGTGCCGGCCTCACGAGAACGCCGTCACGACCGCTGTGTACAAGCCGCAGCAGGACGAGGCCACGCACGCCGCACACAGCGGCTTCCGCGTTTCGCAGTGAGGCTCAGCTTCAGTTTGGCAAGGCAGAGACAGGCCGAGGAGCTGACACGATGCACTCATGGCCACCACGCAAAGAAACAGACAGCTGGCACCCCGCGGGCCCCTTGGTTTCCTTGGGAAGAGTCACGGAGGTGACTGTGATCGTACTCGAGCCCAAAGGCTGGCAGCGCCCCATGTAGGAGCACCACTTTGGCCCTCGCTGCGGCCAGAACTCAGCCAGCGAGTTTTCACGATTCCTCAATAGTTCGAGACCTGCTCCACTGTGAGCAGGCACCAACAGGGCCAGCTCACCTTGTGCTTGCTGGGTTCCCTGAAAGGCTGCCCCACCTACAGAGAACCCTGGCCAGGAGCGAGACCACTTGACACTGGGCCTATCGCAGAAGGCTGCACCCAGCACCACTGTCTGGGCTCATTACGGGTAACGACCCGAGGTCCCACTCCTCTGGAACCACTCTGACAAAAAGTGAAGGAGGTCTCAACCAGACCTAAAATCTCAGCACCCGTGGCACAGAGCACAAACTGACTCCCTTAGGGTTCTGCACGAGCATGGCTCCCTCTCTGAAAGGTCCGCACGAAACCCAAGACTTTATCCTCTTCACTTTAATTCAACTAAGATCAGCAAAAAACATCCTGGGAGACATGGCTCAATTTTCGCCTCTGTGGAGAACCAACAAGCCTTGACCTTGGCAAGACTCAGGAGCGGCAGGTCAACCCCCATCAAAGCATGGCCAGCCAGGCCACCTGCAGGACAGCGCCCAGCGAGGTGCAGCCATGGTGGGGTGGGGTCATTGTGATGGATCTGGGTGTTGGAAATGAGCAAACGGGAATACAGGGTGGCTTCCGGGTTTCATGGGTCACTGGGGCATCACGACACGTTTCTGCATAGGGAAATATGCTGTGACTATCCCGATGACCTAACAGTTAGTGCGCCTGGGGGAACAGTGGTGCCACTCCCCAAGATGGGCAAGCTGCGGAGCAGGCGGAGGCCCACGGGAGCCGAGGCGCGGTGCTTTTCGGACTCCTCTCAGACACTGAGCAGAAATGACGACCGGGCACTGGACACACCAACAAGGCGAAGGGAGCCAGACTGGAAATGACTGGGCTGACGCAGAAGACATTCAGAGCAATGTCACAATGGAAGGATAAAGAAACAGGAAGGACGGCAGCCTAGACCCAAGCCCTGAGGCCGCCAGCCTCCAGTTGCAGGCCAGCTGTGTGGAGCAGTGGGCATGCGCTGTGAGGACTGGCGGTGGGGACTGCGGTGTGACCAGGACCCGTGGGGGGTGCTCGCCTCTCTCTCTCCCCTTCTCACATGCACATGCACGGTCATAAATAAAGGGAACACAGAAAAGAACATCCAGAGCTCGGAGAGAAGGAGGAAGCCATCGAAGGAGAAAGGCTGGAGACATACTGCCAGTGAGAGGAGGAACTGTCTGCGAGGCCCGCGACGGGGCAGAGCTGCTGACCCTGGCTAGCGCGGTCTCCATGCCGTGGAAGAGCGCCTGCCCTACTGAGAGGGCCGACAAGCGAGTGGCAGATGGCTGAGCAGTGGGGCAGGCTCGCCACAGATCCGGCGTGCAGAGCGGAGAGAAGGTCTAACGACAAGGGCGTCTGGAGCCAAGCGGGTCCTCTGTCTGATTCAGGGAGACGCGGGAACAGGTCGCTTTACTGACAGGATGTGCTGCAGGACAAGGCGGGTCTGCTCCACGAGGGCGGTCGAGGAGGCCGACTGCACAGGGCCAGCTGCGGTCTGCATCCCAGTTGCGGTGGCTTGAAAAGTGTGCTGGGTGTGTGTGCATACCCAGGATCCCACAAGGTGGAGAGATAGAAGGCACATGGTGTGACCTCGCCCCATCAGGTGCTTTTGCCCTCCCTCTCCCTGCCTCTGGGCAGGCCCATGAGCTCTCTGGCCAATTAGAAAGGAAGAATTGACCGTGACACTGCATGAGTGGCAGGGGATGTCCACACGCCAAAGGCCTCAGCAATGGGAGCCGACAGGTGGGGAACGAATCAAAGGTCTCACATTTGACAGAAGCAAAAACCTGGGTACAAACGCAGGAATATCAGAAGTGTGAGCGCCAGGGAACCAGCAGTTAGCGTAATGGCTATGTTGCTGAACTCCCACATAGTCGACCGCGGTTCACGTCCCAGACCCGGTGGCTTTAAAACTCACGCCGGGCACGTGTGCATGCGTGCCCAAGATCCCGAGAGGAGAATGGACGAGGAGGGACTGTGGCGTGACCATCACCCCTGGGCGGTGATTTCTCACTTTCTGTCTCTAATGTCTGTCTGTCTGGCGAGCGCACGTGCCCTATAGCGAAAACCTCTCAAAAAAAAAAAAAAGTAAGAGAAAAAAGAAGTGTGAGCACTGGTGGGATGGCGGGATGGGAAGGGATTCTCCCGTCCGGGAAGGCATTATCAGCTAAGAGGGAGGCAGGCCAGCCCCCAGCCCATGGCTAAGGGAGTCGGGTCCCACAGGCCAGACCAGTCTGCGTTCTGTCCCCAGGCACTGAGAAACAAGCAGACAAAGCACACGGAGAAGGGGGGAAGGATTCTGGGGTGACCACGCCACACTGGGAGGGACTCTCTTCCTCTCTCTCGGGCAAGTACGGGTATCTTCTAGAAATTAAGAAGAAAATGCGAAGGAAAGTGATTGAGGATTGGTGAGAAGAGGTGCCGTGAAACATCTGAAAGCAAACTCATGAGGGACATGTAGCAGGATTCTAAGTGCTGGGTGCACCGAGACCAATGCTACCACTGTCCATCTGTCCGTCCGCGCTCACGGAGGAGGGATATGACGCTGCCACTGTCCGGCTGTCTGTCCACGCTCATGGACGAGGGATTTGACGCTGCCACTGTCCGGCTGTCTGTCCACGCTCATGGACGAGGGATTTGACGCTGCCACTGTCCGGCTGTCTGTCCACGCTCATGGACGAGGGATTTGACGCTGCCACTGTCCGGCTGTCTGTCCACGCTCATGGACGAGGGATTTGACGCTGCCACTGTCCGGCTGTCTGTCCACGCTCATGGACGAGGGATTTGACGCTGCCACTGTCCGGCTGTCTGTCCACGCTCATGGACGAGGGATTTGACGCTGCCACTGTCCGGCTGTCTGTCCACGCTCATGGACGAGGGATTTGACGCTGCCACTGTCCGGCTGTCCGTCTGCGCTCACGGAGGAGGGATTCGACGCTGCCACTGTCCGGCAGTCTGTCCGCGCTAACGGAGGAGGGATTTGACGCTGCCACTGTCCGG